ATATTGAAGTAACTTCAATTTTTGCGCTCCATCCCTTAAGGGACTTCGCTCTTGGTACAAATGCCAGTTACGAGACAAAACTTGCATTTGTACCTAGAGTGAAGTCCCTTAAGGGATGGAGCGCAAAAATTGAAGTTACTTCAATATAATAGCGCATAAATCGAATATTTATCGTGTACTGTTGAATAATGAAATTTTACTAATATTAATTGTGAGGTGCTCCACAAATGTGCGTCACAGTCGACTCAATTACAATATTTCTTGTTGAAAATATTTGTACAGACTACTCAAATATGTATGAAAATAGGAGAAAAAGTTCGATGGAGTTAATTATTTTTTTTCCATCCTAAAAAAATTCACGAAAAACCGCTTTCTTTAGACCTCCTAATTCAGGATACCCCCTTAAGGGGTTAGTCGCAGTCAGGAAAATAAAAACAGACACTTTCGTGTGTCTTTTTTTAAGGTATTAAATAATAATTTTTATTAATGAAATTTAAATATATGACGAAATATATCTTACAGAACTATAAATAGATTTTTGTTTTAAAAAAAAGTTAATTCATTTCGTCATAACAGGCGATGGTGTGGGTGGCCATTTTGTTTGCGGTGAGCAAGATTTCTCCAAACTGGTATACTGTGGGTGAAGAAAGTATTCGTACACCGATCAATTTCCCAGAAAACTTTTGTGTGAAATTGTAGTTTCTTAACTTATTTTTTATAAACACTGATATTCTACATATTCTTGGAAAAAATCTAGAATATACACATACATATTGTTAATATGTATAAGTGAGAAATCAACAGGAAAAAACAATAAATCGATAGAAATAGAGGAGCAATAAGTATTCGTACAAGTGTTAAATTTTTAAAACTTCATTTAAAGAAAAAACGAAATTTACATTAATTTATAAATAATTAATACTTCGTGGGATTTCCTTTTGATTTTATAATTACTGCAATTCTTCTAGGCATTAAATTAACTATCATAAATGTCGATGTCATTTTGGGTGGGATCTTCTTTCATTCCTTTATTAGAGCATTTTTTAAATCTTTTTTACTAGAAATCTAATGTTTTCCGATTCCCACGAAGCAATAAACCGATGTGCTTATGCTACAAATTCTACTGTAAATTGTTGGTCATAAGAACCGTGCGTTAATTTCGCAAATTATATAAACTAGTAATTGTTATTTGAACTATATCCCAAAGATTTCCGAGAATATATGGAATATCATTGATTATAAAAGAAAGAGTTAATAAATTACAATTTTACACAAAACTTTTTTGGGAAATTGATCGATGTACCAATACATTCTACATCCACTGTACCTGAAAACAAAAATAAAGGTAGATTTGGAGAATATATTAGACTAACGGGTCCCTGATCGAAGGATTTTGGAATAAATTAATTTAAAACAATGTGACGTACATTTGAAGTTGAAGTTCAATTTTCATTATAAAATTAAGTGATTAAATAGAGAATAAAAAGAAAAGTATATAAGAAAATAAAAAATCCTTCGATCAGGGACCCGTTAGTCTAATTATTAGGTGGACTGGAAAGTAATGTCGTTTATTTTACATTAAATTCAAACAAATTTGTTACAAATTTCTATTTTCAATTATTAATTATATAATCTTTTCCGTTATCAATAGCCTTTTGCCATCTAGTGTGCAAATTGTCGATGCCAAATCGATAAAAATCAATGAGCTGATGAATGATAAGCAAGTATTTAAAATTGCAAAAACGACATTATTTTCCGGTTCACCTAATATCACCTTCTTTATAATTACATTTTGAAGGTACTGGCGATAAGATATTCACAAAATTTTGAAAATTGTTAATAGGGTGGCGTATAAACTAAAATATGATATTTTAAGGTATCTTTTTCCCTATCTAATGGCTAATAGACATTGCAAAAATTTTGTTCAACATGAAGCTCGCCGCCAGTACCACCAATTGTACTCCATCAAATTGTAGATAAAAAATTTCATTCCGATTCATGTAATGGATTTTGCGCGCAATTCTGCTCGACATTTCCAAAAACGTGGTTTCGAGAAAAACGTGTTTAAAGTTTCGTACGAAAGTAATACGACGCTGAGCCGGGCACGTTTGGGGGTCGAATAAATAATGAACTAAGCAGAATTTTATAAAATGCTTCTGTGACGGTCATTGTAGTATCTCCTAGTCGATAAATATGTAGAAACAAAAATTTTTGATTTTTTGAGAATCTTACACAGGTGGACCCCCTTAACTCGATTAAGATTTTATTTAAAAAATGTTGGAAGATATTAATTCGAAACGAATTAACCTTTTTTTAAAACAAAAATTCTTTCATAGTTCTTTGAGACATACTTTGTAATATATTTACATTTCATTAATAAAAATTATTATGTAATACCTTGAAAAAAGACAGACAAGAAAGTGTCCGTTTTCATTTTCCTGACTGCGACTAATCCCTTAAATGATGATAATTCAACTTTATTTAGGTGCAGTTTGAGAAACACTGATGTCGAATACCACGAGGTAAGTTAGGGAACTTCGATTCTCGGTATACCATCAGGGGCCCGTTGGACCCAATCTTAATTTTCGTTTTTAAGCAACTGAAAATTTCGAATAATGCTGTCTTTCGCTCTGCCTTTATTCGTATTTATGTAAATTGCTCGCGAATAATAGAAAAATAAAAGAAAGTAAGAATCATTCATTGGGTCCAGATGGTAAACGATGATAACTACTTTTCCGCTTACATCGGGGATTGACACTCGATCGTGATTTATATAAAGATTCGTATGTATTCACAGATTTGAAAATGCAAATGACAGTAGTACTTTGTTTCATCATTGTAAATGTGAAAGGATGAAGTGAGGACGAACTACGGTGAGACAAATGTCAAACGTCTATCAAATTAGACTAGCAGTTTTATGAAAGTGAATATTACCATGCTATTAAAATAAAAATCGCATCATTCGTCTCGGTTGCGTCATGAATCGTTGAACTTACAGCAGGATTCGGTCTTTCCTTCGAGTTTAAAAAATGTATACGAAAAATACACGCAGTATTTAGCTTTTTTCTTGTTGTATTACATTAGGTGGACTGGAAAGTAATGTCGTTCCTTTTACATTAAATTCGAACAAATTTTTTATAAATTTCTATTTTGAATTATTAATTATATAATCGCTCCCGTTATCGATAGCCTTTTGAATCAATGAGCTGATGAATGGCAAACAAGTATTTAAAATTGCAAAAACGACATTATTTTCCGGCTCATCTAATATTTGTTATTTGTAAAAATATTAGAAACTATTCAGCAAATTTTCAAGAGATTTGAGGACTTTACTTTGTGAGGAAATAATGAGCTCCATCTAGTTATTTAATTTTGTTTTTATCCCAGGCAGAGGATATCCACAAGCAGTTTAGGTTCCGAGTTTGGATTTCAGGAGTTCAGGATTTTCGAGCAAAGAACTGTACACGCAGAAGTAATCGTATGGACACAGTTCTGCATTTATTTCACGTGCGCGAGTGTGGCACGCCCCGCGCGACATTATAGTTACACTTTACAGCCTTTCAGTCTTCGCGAATATACAATAGTTACGGTGAGAGATCTCTAAATTATAATATGAAAAGCAATAACAATGATAATAATCATATAATAATAATATAATAATAATATAGTATCGACATTGCGATTAATGTAATTAATAGTCATAATACAAATAATTCGTTTTATTATCTACAACAGGAGTCCGAACGATGCAGGATCTGGTCGACGTGACACGGTAAACATTTCTCTTCCGCGCGAAAACTACGAAATAAAAGAAAGGGGAGATCCGTTCGCGACCAGTTGCGATCAGGGTGCGCGTGCCCGTGACTGCCAACGCGAACTACCGATTTAAATTCAGATTAATTTCAGCGTATATTTAACGTCGACTTAACCTACGGTTCCTCGGCTCGTCGAGCGGACGACACTTGCAAAAATATTCCCGCAAATTGCACCGATTTTCCACCCTCGGACTGGTCGCGACCGTCGGAGTCTTGGAAGCGAACTTACAGAATGCGAAGAGAGAAATTCAACGTCCTCGCGTTACGTACTCCAACGGGCAACACAGCGATACCAAGGAGAAATCAACGCGAAAAGAAACGTAGCACGATCGCCGTGTTAGCGAGAAAGAAACGTAACCGGAAGTGGGAGGGGCCTGGAGACCAGAGATGGGCCAAACTCCTACCTGGACACAGATTTTTAATTAAAAAAACTAAAGATAGACGGCTTCGCAAACCCTCGAGTGATATTACGCAATTTATTCCAATTTTTATGATTTTCAAAGAAGTTTTGTTGTAGCAATTTCGTTATTTACGCCAAGAACGAACATTGTACAGAAGTACCGGACCAGTTAATTTAATATACATATCTTGGTTTTTTATTCCAAACCTCGAACCCTCGAGCGATATTACGGAGCAGATAGTTTAATATACGTATCTTGGTTTTTTATCCCAAACCTCGAGGGTTATCATCTACTACCCCGTTTTCGAACGACGAAGATCGATTTATAAACATAGAATTACAGGTAACTACCGTCTTCGTTGTACAGGAATCAGGCTCGAAGGGTTAATTTGTTCGTTAAAAATCCCAATCGGATTTATTCCAGAAGCAAAAGCTTATCGGAGTAGTCGAAAAAATCGCTATGCTTTCATTTGCAATTCTGCCCATCTCTCCCAGGACTGGATTAAGACATCGGTTTTAGGAGGTTATTTGATCCATAATAAAATTATTTCCGTACTACGCATTTCGGAAGGAAGTTTCGCGTCGGATTTTCTACATTTAGATTCACATTTACGTCGCTACATTTTCGAACTGTTCTTCCAAGAAAATAATTTTCTTCGTAATTTGTTTTCGCTCGTAAACATAGGTAATACTAAATAATGACTGCAGCTGAAAAAAAAAGAAACTGTATCTACGTACAAAGAACATTTTCAACGGATCGGATAATCGGCATTGTTAACGTACTTCGTTTTCCTCGAGATTAATGATCAAGACAAGGATCTTTGGTTTCTCGAGGAGTATCATCGATCATCGACACCTTGTACTTTTTTCGGGTAACGTTCGCATGCTAATACTCCTATACCGTCACGTCGTTGAAATCTACTTATAATCGGTACACGTACAAAAGAAAAATCTTAGATGTACATAATTATTAGGTTGTCCCAAAAGTTTCTTTCGCGAGTTGCACTCAATTATTTTATGTGGTCGTGTTTATATAAATAGACAATCTAAGCTCATAGATATTCATGTTGTAACAGTAATGGAGCAAAATGAATCGTGCACAATTCAGTAATGTAACATAAAACATAAACTATTGTGCGTGTATTATTGGGTTGTGCGGAAAGATTCATGCCTATTTTAAAGAAAAAATCAAAGGCATATTTGAATATTGATGCATATTTATTGAATTATATATGTACCATTTTGTTCCACAACCTTTGCACCTTTTAAGGGATGTATATATATGTTATTTGTTTTCAATCATTTCGATATATTCAGACCTGTACCGCCTACTAAAAATCGGCATGGACTTTCCAGACAGCCCAATACTTATTAATAAAGCGAACGAAACTTTTGGGACAACCTAATACTAGACTGCGGATCTTTATGCGAAATAAAATCTTGGCAAACGTGTCTAAAAAAAATTGAACCTAAATAGGAATTTATTTTGCTCTGCAAATATTATAATATCAACTTTACTCTCGATACTTTTTATATTCTTGCACGCTCAAATTTTCTGTAAATGCATAAAGATCCGCGGATGTATTAGATCCGTCTAATAATTACTGTCACCTGGGTACACCTAATCGCGCGTGCTAAAACGTACTTAACAAAAGCACGACCTCTATACAGCTCGAGAAACCAAAGAATCCCTGAGTCCTCGATTTAAACAGACAAGCAACCTTGTAAAAATAAATTCAATTCTTTCCAACTGTCTCTTTACTTCTAGAAATGTGCCTTCGATCGTAGCCCCAGGAGTCTACGCGTTTTCCAATCCGGCGCCGATCTCCACCCAGGATCTTGGATGTCGCAGAGGATTACAAGGATCAAGTGGAGGGGGAGGAGGAGGTATTCAAGGAACAGCGGACGTAGAAGTGAGTCGATTACGATGAGAGAGGTCGTGCGAGGAATGCGGCGAGTTTATGTACAAGTATTTACATCTTTCTACGAAGAAAGAAGCTCGATCGGCCGCGAGAGGCCAGCTTTACAATTCTTCTTCTTCTTCTTCTTCTTCTTCTTCTTCTTCTTCTTCTTCTTCCTTTTTCTTCGTTCTTGCTTTCTTTTCAGGTGTGCTTCGGGTGTCGAACGCACCCCCGGATGCCCACTAGTCCGAACACCTAAAAATCCATTCCCTTTCCTTTCCGTTTTCACAATACACCCCCGCCAGAAGCTTGTCCCGGTCCTAGAGGGCTCTGTACAATGCCGAACGCAACTCTGTCCTGGAACGCGGCGAGAAGAATGGGTTTCCCTCGAAGAAGACTCGAAGAACGGGCTCGAGCGACGTTGAGACCCGGTGGTCAGCACACGTCAGCCCTCGAGGAGAAGCTCGAGCGACCTGGACCTTACTGGTGTAGCTCGTCCGCCGACGCAGGTCACCGTTCCGCGACCAGCCCGGTCATCGTGGTGGTCGTCGACGTCGTCGACGTCGGGACGGACGTCGTGGCGTTCAACAGCGGCTGGAGGGGCTGCCGAGGGCTCGTCTTAGCGATACTGGACTCGTGATGGACGTTCGTCTCCTCGAGGGTGGTCTGGAGATCGCAGATGTATTCGATCACCCTCTGGATCACCTCTAGTTTCGAGAGCTTCCGCTTCCTGGGCATGTCGGGGACCAAGGACCTCAGTTTCGTCAGGTAGGCGGCTACTTCTTCCGCTTCGAGATCGCGACGAGTCCCGTTGATCCCGAGACCACTGTGCAGGACACCGCGGCTCGGCGGCACTCTGCCGCCCACGGGGCTCACCACCATCGCTTTCATGTCTGCGAGTTCAACTTCTCTCGCCCAATTTCTCTCCGTTCGAACCACCGGTCGATTCGGTGTACTCGATCGTTACGGGGAAAAAATAAGGTGGACGAAATGTGGGTCGTCGATTAATTCGATCACGCAAACACCTTGCCCGGTTATCTGCCTGCTGGACGTCGCGGTGCACGGTACACGCACCCCGAGTATTTATCGATCGAACCAAACCCACCGGAGCGCACGAAAGAGACAGACCGGAGAGAGACTGGTCCGATTGAACGTCCCGTTGTTTTCCAATTCGGCTAATTCCAATCACTGGTGTGTCTATATTTTCATTTATTTAGTTCGCTTTCTGTTTCGTTCTGTGTGTCGAGGATTCTCGGTCACGAACGCGTTCACACACACTACACAGTGCACGGATGTTTCTATTATCGCGAGCTTGTTGCACTCGCGAGAAACATCGTCGAACTTGATCCGTTGATTCGTGGCAGCGAAGAACGAAGTGGGTTTTCGGGCGCAATGAGTGTTGTTAGAAGCGAGCAACACGGTACTTGGAGCCAGTAACGTCGCGCTCGGCGGATCGAAGTCAACTGGCCTCCGCCCCTCACCTGAGCGCTTTTATACCGTTCCCCCACCCTGCGCTGTTCTACCCCCGCGACGCCTCCACTACTCTGTACGGCGCAATCGCTGCCCGAATAGAATAGCGTTGGACTCGAATCGCTCGCGAAACGGATTGTTATCTGACCTATTTAATACGTGCAACTTTGGTAAATATTTATGTCCATGCACCTTTTTACTGTACCGAACGGCACGATATTTACAATCGATGATTGTGGAATTGCAAATTATCTTGTTTGCACGTTGCGTTGGAACTCTAAGGTTGTTTTGCAAGTACGATGGAATTTTTGTTCACTTTTAGTTTCATCTTAATGGATGAATTATGTTACGAATTTGGAATAGCAATGTTACATTGAGAAAATAGATTTCCTTAGAAATGTACTAATTTGTTGGCCATGAAAGTAGAATTTTTATTTTTTGGTCGCGGATGGAGGAAGATTTTTTTATTAGAATTTGGGATTAAGGTTGTTTTGCAAGTACGATGGAATTTCGAGTTCATTTTTAGTTTCATCTTTATGGATGAATTATGTTACGAATTTGGGATAGCACGTCACATTGAGAAAATAGATTTCCTTAAAAATGTACTAATTTGTTGGCCATGAAAGTAGAATTTTTATTTTTTGGTCGCGGATAGAGGAGGATTTTTCTTATTAGAATTTGGGATTTCGTTACGAGTTTAAAAATGGGGAGTGTTTGACTCGAATAATACACAACCAAGTTAACATTTGCAAAGTTAATTGGATTTAACAGTATTTTTTAGAGAATCTGTTATTCTTACTACGAACCTGTTCTTACTGGAACCTATTTTGGTTGTGTAATTGGGATCTTAAAAATTGTTTATTTTTCAAATATATTTTTACGAACTTTTTCCCCAACTTGCAATCGGAGACAAACTTCGTACCTTCGTGCTTTAGCCACACAATAGGATATTTACTTTTTGCGATATCCACAAGACAGTAAAACCGTCTACGAATGAGCGGGAGCTCGTAAAACTTCATGAATATTTAAATTTCTAATATCAATTCAAATTTACGACTTTGAATAACTGTACTCATCGGTACTAGGCAAACATTGAAACTTAAGTGTACATGAGACATTCATTTTCTTAGTCTTAAAACCTTATATACCATAGGTACAATATATGATCCTTCGTATAAAAGTACCTTACCACACTTACCAAATTTTTACAAATATTTAGTGGCTCATATACGGAAATCGCCATATCAAATTTCATCATTTCCTGAAAACTGAAGCTAAATAAAGTTCATACGCATACCTGCGCATGTTTACAGTATTTTGTAATTAGTTTCTTTTTTGCATTTTTCAATTCAGAGTAAAAAAAGTACCATTCATGGATCATAAAAAATGAAATATATAAGACAACCTTTGAAAGGGAACAGACGGAGGACATACCTTGCCCATACGTTCCAAATTTGACAATTCAAATGACATCAATAAATACCTAATTAACATAATAACAGTAATCAGGTTTAACCGTGAATTAAAGTAGGCGATTGTATCTATTTCAAGTACGATGGAATTTCGTGTTCATTTTTAGTTTCATCTTTATGGATGAATTATGTTACGAAATTGGGATAGCATGACACATTGAGAAAATGGCAGGAATACTTCATTTCATTTTTGGGATAAAAATACACACAGCAGATCTATAATTACAGCATTAACAATCAAATTACAGCTGAAAGAATGTTGTACTCATGCCCACAAAATGGGTATGAGTTTCAAGCAGAAAGATAGTAATTCGTCAGAGAGGTGACAATTTTAATTCAGTAATTCTTTTGGTCCTCTTCGTTCTCTACAACCCCCAAAAGGTGCCTACGACTTCACCGAATAAAAAGTAAGAATACAGAAACACCATAGAAACAATACACCCTCAACAAACTCAACTTCTTGACCAAAGAAAACTGCAAAAACCCATAATACAGAAAATTTCCTTC